CTTCAATTAAATCCTCAAATGCACACATTTTCTCAATTAAATCCTTAAGTACCCATATTTTCTCATTTAAGAATAATTCATCAAATTAAATTCCTCTAATTATCCACAACTTTCACAATTTAATTGTTAAATAAAATTTAAAATGTTACAAAATATCAATGGATATTATAAAAAAACATAGACAAAAAGGAATCACAGCATCTATTTCTTCAATTTTCTTGAAAACACTATTGGATTTTTTGAAATTTTCTCATTTTTTCATAAAAACACTAAGGGATATTCTAAAAACACTAATGAATATTCTTAATAATCATTATTACATTGTTATACATGAACTTTAATTACACCAACTTAAAAGTATGAAAAACAATTGAATATTAACAAATTCATTTATAATGAAATAATAACATGTTCTTGCATCCCTTAATAATATAAATTACATTACATTATAATGGATTGCAAGTATGTCAATCTAAGCTCCTTCAAACAAATTGTCAATACAAACTTAGCTTCATCACAAATGCTCCATTTCATATTCCAATCTAAGCTCTCTCAAACAAATTGTGAGTTCCATTAATGCTAACATGACACTCATCTTGACTCGCCACATCAATATTGACTGGGTTCCAAATTATAAAAATATGGTAGTTTTCTTTAATTTAACGATGAGAATTTAGGCACTCAAAAATTAAAAATTAAAAGGAGTTTTCATGTATTTTAAAATTTATGATATTATTTGTGCAATAATTTACGTTCTAGTGATGTTTATTAACCCTTCTTCAAGCCTATGCATGGTAACGCAAGCAACATCTTTTGAGAAGGAGTCGACGCTTTTATCAAAATTTATAAATTAAGAAGCGTTTTTACGTAGAAGTTAAGTTTCATTATTTGCCTAATGATTGGGGAGCAATGGCCCACTAAAACCAATTTTCATTGTTTTACGCTCCTTTTCCTTTCTCTTCTTTTCTTTGTTCCCACTTTTTTAATATAAGTGTAAGGTCACAAAAATTCATGCAAAAAGATAAGTGTAAGGTGATATGGTGAATCAACAAATTTTTTGCTAGGTAACGTTTGGATATATTTAAATTTATTTTAATTAAAATTTCATATTATAATCCATATATTTAAAATTAATTCTATAAATTTTAAAGGTGAAAAATAGAAGAGCTAATATTTGAAACGAAAACAGAAGATTGAAGGTGATGAACTTATTTCCTTTTTTAATTGGTCAGAGGTGAGGACAAGAAATGAGATGAATGACTAGAGTAACAAAGACACTGATAATAAAAATGTGAAAAAAGGAGAAAAAGTTTTGAATAGCTAAAATCTGAAACTATAAAACAGTTATAATAAAACATGTTATCAGAATCCATAAACTTTTACATATCCAAATGATAATTTTAATTTAAATTTAAATTCAAATCTACTAGATAATTGAAGATTATAAGACTAAAGTTGTCATAAGATACCTTATTAGGTAAATAATCAGTGAATTTATTTAGTTTCTCTCTACAAATAGATCTCCTTTTTTTCTTTTTCTTCTTTCCCACTCCTTTGCTTTCCTGCCGGAGTTGAAAGTACAAGTTTAACACAAATTATACAAATTATTAGTATTTAGATAATTTAAAAAACTTGTTCTTTTTAATTTTTACTAATATATTTGGACGGAGGGGAACTATTCATCAGTTTACGAGTAGATGGGAACAAGAAAGTGGTTTTTGGCTGGCGGCATCCGCAAGTCAGCAAAGCTGGCGGGGCATATTTGCATTTGAAGCATAAAAAAAGTGGGACCTATCATTATTTGGTTTGAACCATCCAAAAATATACTCATTGAGATTCAATAGTAAAAATTTTCAGATTTTTTTTTATAATTTCAAATGGTTCAATAGTAAACAAAGTGGGACCTTTTAGGTTTAAATTTTGACTTTTTTTTATAATTTCAATGATTTTTAAAATTTTATGGTCAAAATTTTGTTGTCTTGGTTATGCATTATAATATAAAAAATTATAAATTCATGAATTAATAAAAAAGGATTTATATATATTTTTAAAAAGCTTTATCATTTAAAAAAAAGACTCCTTCAACAAAAGTAAACTACAGGAAGGATTTGTATAATATAAAAAAAAAATTTTCGGGAAAAAAAAACTGCTCTATTGTAAACGTATCACGAAACATAATGGCTAGTGGCTTAACGGTATTTTATAGTAGTTTATCTTTAATTAAAAATACAAAATAATAAAAAAAGATATAAACGACAAATAAAGCCATCAGCCTGGACCAATTTTCAGGTAAAAAAAGTTTTCAAAAAAAGCTTCATCATTTTAGTTAATATATAATTTAAATTTTAAACTATATGTCACAAGACGATTTGAACTCTAAAATTTTAAAAAGTGTGAAATCTTAAACAATTAAAGTCAAAATAATTTAATTTTTATTATTAAATTTAAACAAACGTCCTTTAAATTAAAGTTTAATATATAATTTTTACCAAATGAATTTAATTATTTTGGATTTTGAATGGTGCTTTTAAGAATTTAGTATTTAAATTATCTTTAAATCTATAATTTAAGATTTAAATTACATATTAACTTTTTTTATATTACACCGTTTTATAACTCTATATACCCCATGAGTCACAAAATCAATAAACCTCCGTGATAGATTTGTAAATTGTATTGAAGTGAAATCCGAGCCGAAATCAGGGGAGGGCCGGAGTGGGAAAAGAGATGCGAACCTTCCAACGTTTACTTTATCAATATTTTTCTTATGATAGTTTTATTTACTCCAATAATTTTAATTTATTTCACAAGTAAGTTTGGCAATATACACTACTGAACATTAATAATTACTTCACTTCTTCACGGTTTAGAAAGATTAGGAAATCTTAATATTTTGAAAAATTTGATATCTTTCTAATTATATCCTTATTAAATAATTACATATTATCTTAACAATGATAATTGAAATTTTAATACATTATTTTTTTAAAAAAATAAATGAAATTGGAATATGGTCAGAAAAATAATTATAAAAACTATCTGATGCTCTATATTTTAATTTTTGAGTCAAGTATAATTTTTAAAAGAAGCCTTAAATTGATTTCGGGTGGAAGTATATTTTAAAAGAAAAAAAAACTTATATACTTAACATAATATGTTTGAGGTGCTTGTTTCTTATTAAATTAAAACATGCATATTTTTTAGAGATTATTTATTTTATAATAAATTTTTATTATTGATATTATCAATACATTAAAATTTACTTATCTTAATTTAATTGAATAAAAATATACTACCTATATAAATCCTTTTAAAATCAGGGGAGTAAGTTATTTTAACCGGTTCACTCAATTACTCAAATAAAAAAAAATTAATTAGAATTAGTCATTTGTCTAAAAAATTATCCTATGTTTTCATAAATATTTCCTCCATTTAAAAATATAAGATATTTTTTAAAAGTTAGATATTAAAAAATGTAAGATATTTTTAATTTTTTGAGGTATAATCATCGCCTTTTTTTTAAAAGTGCGCCTACTGATATTAATTTTATATTTATTAGAAGATATTTAATGAGGATAACTATAAAAAAAATAAGGTTAGTTTGATAATAGATAACTACTTTATTGAGGGATGAGATTTAATTAAAATATTTTATATTTTTAAATAAAGAGAGTATCTTTCATCAAATGCGGATTCACCATCTCGCAGATTCATGATCTTCTCTTCCCATCTCTCTTCACCATAACTGCACAACATTATCCACATTCTACATATTGGATTTAGGAGATTTATATTTAAACTAAATCTTTCATCTGAATTTATAATTTTGGATTTGATTTCAATCCAAATATATTGTTTATTATTATTCTTTTATAATTTTAAATTTCATCTACATAATAGTCATTTAAAATTTCAATCACTTCAAATATCTTGTTTTCTTTATATTTTTATTATTGATACCTTTATAACTTTTATATATTTTTTCATCTCTTATTATTGTCTATGGTCAATTAAAAAATAGAGATAAATTTATCACTTTAAATTTTTCATTTTCATTTCAAATTTCAACTCATTTCTTTTCTTCATTTATAATTTTTTAAACATAATTTTTTAAACTACCTAAATAAAAAATTTTAAATACATAGACTTAAAATTTAAAATTTAAATCCAAAAATTATCTTAGAGAGTTTACATTTACTCTCTCCTGTCCTTGATATAAGGCAAAACTAACTAATATAGCGCTTCATTTGGAAATGTTAGTTATAAACCTTAAAATTGTAAAAAAAAAAATTGTGACTTTCTAATTTTAACATTCTTTATAATTAATAATTAATAAATAATAATTATAATAATTTTTTTATAGAAATTCAATTGACAATAAATATATAAGTGATAAAATTGAAAAATTAATTATTTTAACTTTACCTCATACTAAGGATAATTTTTTTAAAAAAGTTTTCTTTGGATCAAGGATTGAAGAAAGTATCTTATTATAAAAAAAACTTGTAAATCAGTTGTAGAGGAGAGAAAAGAAGGATAAAATTTTCATTACGTACATTAATATCAACCATCAATGAATTATTTACTGGCCTTTCAAAATAATATAATTTTGCATTGAGGCTATCATTTTGATTACTAAAAGATGTAAACTTTTACACCCATTTCAGGATGTAATAGAAGATGTTCCTTTTTTGTTTTACAAGGATTGGAACATCCTCATTTATTATATTAATAGATGCTTTAATACTTATGCTGATCACCTTGTTAAAATGTCTTATAGATTAGATGTTAGTTTTTACACTTTTAATTATCTCTCACCTTTATTACAAGAGACGGTGGATAATAAAAGTGATTCAGCAGGTCATATGTCATTGATATAATCTCATTTTAATTATGAATGCATTTCTTTAGTTAAAAAAAAATTATATGGTCTTTTGCCATAAATATTAACTCACGAGGGCCCTTCTGCAAATTTTCCCCTCAATATGTCCGTGCTTCACAACTCACCTCCCGGGAATGTGTTGCAAAATTGATGCGGTAGCTCTTCGTCTTCTTCCCCACTATCCCACTAATTTTTCCCCCTTACTTATTGTCAACTAACCTCACAGACACAGTCCTTCTCTAGTCAGAACAGCGTCCCCCGTCTTTGAAGAAACAAAGCTTAATTTAGAACTAGAAGCCCTTCAACATGGTGATCGCATCGACAGTCAAAGAACCAGAAAACCGAGAACACTTGAACTCCACTTTTGCCTCCAGATATATGCGCGACCCAATTCCCAAGTATTCTTCTTTTCAATCCTTTCCCTCTTGTAGAATCTCATTAATTTGCTAGTTAACTTCCTCTGAACACTCAAAGAAAAAAAAAAAAGTTTCTTGATGGGATAGTTTTGTGTGTTGTATAATTGAAGGTTTAAGATGCCGGAGAAATCCATACCCAAGGAAGCAGCGTATCAGTTTATAAGCGACGAGTTGATGCTGGATGGAGCACCCAGGCTCAACCTAGCGTCTTTTGTCACCACTTGGATGGAGCCTGAGTGCGACAAGCTCATCATGGCCTCTCTTAACAAGAACTACGTTGACATGGACGAGTACCCTGTTACCACTGAGCTCCAGGTATGTCTGTGGCTTGAAACTCTGGATCTCTCAATCTCTATTTTTTCAAGGACCGGAGACATCTAGGATTACTTGGTTTAGATCTGTGGGTTCAGGTATACTCTGTTTCATGATAATCTGCTAGATCTTATGTTGAGTTTGATGGTCAGATCATGAGTACGAGAGAGTGAGTTGTGTAATTTGATCAATTCTGCAGAACCGCTGTGTGAATATGATAGCTCATCTGTTCCATGCTCCTATTGGAGAAGATGAGGCTGCAGTGGGTGTGGGAACTGTGGGTTCATCAGAAGCAATCATGCTGGCAGGTCTTGCTTTTAAAAGAAAATGGCAGATGAAGAGAAAATCAGAAGGAAAACCATATGATAAACCCAACATAGTTACTGGAGCTAATGTTCAGGTGTGTCTCAAATCACTGCTTCTTTAGTACCATATCTTCATCTCTCTCTCTCTCCCCCCCTCCCTCCCTCTCTCCCCTGTGCTTTCAGCTGACTCCATTGTCTCATGCTAGAGTCAAAGTGCTTTCAAGTGATTTATTGAACCTCACATCAATTCCTGGAAAATGTGAGTGACACAGGTCTGTTGGGAAAAGTTTGCAAGGTACTTTGAGGTGGAGTTGAAGGAGGTGAATCTAAGTGAGGGATGTTATGTGATGGACCCAAAGAAAGCAGTGGAACTGGTGGATGAGAACACCATATGTGTTGCAGCAATATTGGGGTCAACTCTGACTGGTGAGTTTGAGGACGTGAAGTTGTTGAATGAGCTTCTTACAGAGAAGAACAAGGAGACGGGATGGGATACTCCAATTCATGTGGATGCTGCAAGTGGAGGGTTCATTGCCCCATTCTTGTTCCCTGATCTTGAGTGGGATTTCCGATTGCCGTTGGTGAAGAGTATTAATGTTAGTGGTCATAAATATGGTCTTGTTTATGCTGGTGTTGGTTGGGTTGTTTGGAGGAGTAAGGATGACTTGCCTGATGATCTTGTCTTCCATATCAACTATCTTGGCTCTGATCAGCCCACTTTCACCCTCAATTTTTCCAAAGGTACTATTTCTGTTCATCTCATTCATTCTAAAATATGTGCTTCAGGCAATCAAGGCCTTTGACCTTGTTTAAATTCCAATGTCATTGATAGACTACACTTGCTTGAATGAGAGATTGTGAACGCGTCAGTGATGATAGTAAGTTTATAACTTTGACATGGCGAGGTTCTTGTATTGTTTATATTCCAATGTCATTGATAAACTACACTTGGTTGAATTAGAGATTGTGAACGAGTCAGTGATGATCGTAAGTTTATAACTTTGACTTGGCGAGGTTCTTGTATCATATGCATTCTTGGGAAATCAGAGCCTCTTATGTCATTCATAAACTATTATTACATGCATTCAGTTCAAAAGGTGATTTTTCTCAAGTCAAAAAGTGATTACATGTAATATAATCAGATGGAAGAGGGCAGATTAATCCTATATATATCATTGTTTCTTTTAATCTGTGACTGTATAACCTTAGAAGATTCACCCTCTCCCCAATGTGTTTGCTTTTTGTTGACATTTATGCTTATATCTACTTTTTGGCAGGCTCTAGTCAAATAATTGCTCAATATTACCAGTTGATTCGGCTTGGCTTCGAGGTAATAGTCTCTTCCTGCCTTACCAAACACTATCTGAAAATGAAATCTGTATGATAATCCTGAAGTTAACTTCATCCACGTGCACGCACACACATGTACTTAGGAGGTTTTCTGATATATTTGATTAGTAATTTTGGTCATGCTAACAAAAAGGGTTACAAGAACATTATGGAGAACTGCATGGAGTGCGCGAGAGTACTGAAGGAAGGAATAGAGAGAATGGGTCGGTTCAGCATTTTGTCCAAAGACATTGGAGTACCGGTGGTAGCCATATCTTTGAAAGACAGCAGCCAGCACACAGTGTTCGAGATATCAGACCATCTCCGGAGGTTTGGGTGGATCGTTCCAGCCTACTTGATGCCACCAGATGTGCAACACGTGGCTGTGCTGCGTGTGGTCATCAGGGAGGACTTCAGCCGGAGCCTAGCAGAGAGACTCTTGTCTGACATCGAAAAGGTTGTCAAGCTCTTGGATACACTTCCTAGCCCTATGTCCATTAAAGCTGCTCATCTTAGTGCCATAGCTAATGAGACTGATCATCATAAGGCCAAGAAGAGTGAAATGGAGATTCAAGCGGACGTTGTGGCCTTGTGGAAGGGTCTTGTGGAAGGCAAGAGAACTGGAGCTTGCTAGGCTTCCCTCTTATATCTTGTTGCCTTTTATGCTGCCTTGTTATTTAAGAATAAGTACGTTTTGAGTGTGTGTTGTACGTGCCTTGTGCTTTTGTGATGGGGTTTATTATTACAGTATCATCTTGTTTCCAGTGTAATACGTTATATATTGCAGTGCTTGAGCTTCCGTGCCTTCGGCATTGAATATATACAAATAGGGTGTTAATCCTGTTGGGGATGGTGGCTGGATTGTATTTTTTGTTGTATATGTATTTATTTGGAATATTTATATATTTAACAATGTTTTAGTAATTAATTTGCACTATCCATGAGTTGAATAATGCAACTTGTTAATTATTAGTGGGTTTCATTGCATAGGGTTCAATATCTAATTATATAAATATTAGTAGTTGGAATTATAATCCATCATAGGCATCATTTGAATAATACACTCTCTTCAATCCCCAATATATGATACTTTCAACATGCATCAAGTTTATTGAGGAAATTAATTCCTTAAAATTTCACAAAAAATTAACTTATTTTTTCATTTTTACCCTTATCATGATTAACACTCACAATTCGCCATGCATAATCATTCAATTCACATTATCCCATATACAGTGGTAAAAATGAGATGATTTTTGTAAAACTATAAAATATCCTATATTTTGGATTAATAATAGCTAGAAGAATGTCATACAGTAGCAGAAAAAGTAAGAACATGCAAGTGCAAATGAGTAGTTATGTAAATTATGATTTGTTAATGAAAAAACACATGTAAATTATGAATCAGTATAAAATATATAGCAATTTGACATTTCAAATTATTTATAAGTCATCACCACTATAGTGAATATTAGTATTACCTCCATTATTTTTTATAAGAGAATTTTGAGAGCTTTTGTAATCCTATTTATGATAAATAATAACCTTTTATCTAGAGTATTTGTGGAAATTTTTCTTTTTTAATCCCTATTGAAAAGGTCTATTTATTAATGAGATTAATAATTAAAAGTCACCTATCAATTCGACAATTAATAAATAATGTATTTTTGGAAAAAAATATTTTTGTAGCATATTTATTGATTCTAACTAATTCTTAACATATTTTTAGATCTTGTTGAATTAGTTGTCGATCTCTTTTAAAAGAGATTGAACGAAGTATTAAATTTTGCATAATAGACTTGTCAATGGCAATAGATGAAAAAAATATGTATATGATTTGAATATTCTAAAAGGAAATAAAAACGTAGTTAATGAAATAATAATTTTGATGTCACACATTTTAGTATTTAAGACTGATGAAAGTTAAAAATTTATGTATTACTTAATAGATAAAAAAGTGTTTCTATAAAGCAAAAGAAAAATATACCCATCTTATTTTCTTTCTTTTAAAATGCACCTCACATTTCTCTTTTTGAAAAGTAAACTTTCGTTTAGCATAAATACATGTTAAAAGTACCAGTGCCAGTCAAGCAAGATGCTGAATTGAGCTTACCTCCCAACTTCAACTGAGAAGATGCATTAATACTAATCGTTTTCTCCCTAACCGGTTTCAACTTGAACTCAGAATTCAATATCCCAGGAGGCTCCATATAACGAAGCGGTTGGAAAATGACTGTATAATGAATTGCCTTCTTCGGATTCATGCTAACCTGAGCTATCTGTGCTTTGCCTTGCAGAGGTTCGAGAGGACAGATAGGTTAAATGTTTTTTTTTTTTTTTAGTCCAAGGAAAAACTTCATTAACAAACACCAAGAAAGTCAGTACAGGTTAACCAATACTCGTCCTAAAGCAAGTGAATGTAATGTAGCATCCAGGACATCAGAATGCAAGAACGTGGCACAAAAGACAAAGGAAAGTCCTGGTTCAGATTAAAAACAGTAGGAAGTTCGAAAAACAAAATTTTAGACCGCCGGTCAAGACAAGCAATTTTGCACAGTACAACATCCACTAGTAATTTGCAATACGATTCCCCATGAATGAGTCCCAAGTGCTTGCCAGAGACACTCTCTACAGCTTCAAACAGTGACAGTGCCTCACCATGAAAGGGAGAGGTTGCATCACTTCTCTTGACACGGACAGATTAATCACATTTCCTGCATCATTTCGCTAAATAAAACCAAGGCCACCCAACTTGTTAGTAACATCAAAAGCCCCATCAGATTTAAGCTTCAAATCCTCACAAGAGGGTAAATTCCACACATAAGCATCAGAACAGGTCCACGAGTCTTTCTCCTCGTTACTAAACCAACCATTAGTTGTCCAGAAGTCATACACAACTTTATTGGTTGAACTGATAACCCAAGAAAGAGCAGGATTAGTATGGTCATATAATTCAATCTTCCAGATATACCACAACAGATAGGCTAAGCTTGGCCAAAATCATCATCACAGAGCAAATTAAAAATCAAGAGCCAAAAGAGAGAGTAAAAGAGTCAGGAATAATTCACCAAAAAAAAAAAAAAAAGAGTCAGGAATAGTATGACTATACTTGACTCTTTTGACCCAATCACAAAGAATAGAGGCATGCACAACAGATTCAGAGCCAGAAAAACATCTCAAATAAGCAGGGCAAGGGGCGTATTTGTGCACTTACACAAAGCTTCCATTAGAGGCAAAGCATTTGCTACACACTCCACAGAGAAAGTGCCTCACCTTTGGTCGAACTTTTAACTTCCAAATACTTTTCCAAATATCCCTGTCATCAGAACAGGACAAGGTAGGACCAGTGTCAACCACAACATTCTCCTTAGCCATTAACCTCTTTAGCTTAATTTAACAAAGTATATGTCATTTGCGCTTCCTAACCAACTAACCTCATCATCAATATCAACTGACGGAAGGGGGATTTGTTCAATTGCACTCCTAACAGAATCAGAAAAGGCCACCTGACAGATCGGCTAAATGAAAGAGAGGTTTCTCGATTGGGGTGGGAAGCATGAAAACAAGACTGGAAGAGGGCCAAAGGTATCAACACATTTACAAAAGTTGTTCCTGCATACTTGCAGTTGCAAATGTTGCATAATATGTTGATTTTGAACAAGTACAGCAAAAAATAAATAATTTATTAGTCAATCATAAGTGCTACTTTATCAATTTTTTAAGTCACCTCTAATATTGCTACTGGGAAAATGCATTATTGGTTATTTAAATTAGAGTTAATAATTCAAATTAAATCAATAAACTGAATAAATCCAAAAAAATTTAAACTTGGATTTTATTGGTAAAATTTAAAGCCAAATTTAAAGAAATAAAACTTTTTTTTTTTTTTATCATGGATCATTCAAGCCAAGCCTAATACGAATACTTGAATTATGTATTTGTTTACACTTAAAATAATCGAGTTACCACAATCGACTATCTTCAAATACACATATTATTTTGCTTAAATTTTAGTTGACTTATATGAATTAAGATACTAAAGTTTACATGTGGCATCAGAGTCTTGATTATGAGTATTAATTTGTATATCTCAATTCATTATCTTATGTGTACGTTGATGAATTTATAAAAATTCCTTTCAAAGCATGTTAACATACCCATATGTTGATGATTCTCCTTCTAATCCTTGTTATTCTTCAGTAAATATGAGATTTTGTTCAAAATTTATTACTAGAGATCACGTTATTGTGTGACTCTCTCCCTTTTCAGATTTAAAAAAAAAAAAAAACTTGGAGAAAAGGAGATGTAGCTTGCACCAACATAAATCCTACAGTAACAGCATAATAAGGTCTCAAACTATCTACCTTAACGTTCCATTGAGTCGAAAAAATGACTGCAGCGTATGTCTACAATTTTATGTCCATGGATAAGATAATAGCATGCTCTGCGTCGCTGCACCTTGGTCACCGACGTCATCTCTCCTACCTCAAGTTCACGTCGCTGGAAAAGGTGCTGCCATTTGATGTCTGCCATGTTTGTCGGAGTGACTGCTAGAAGTTTCTGGTTTGCAGCTGCTGGAAGACCCAAAAAGTCGGGTCAAGAAACCAGTCAAATTGGATCCTAGGGATCCAACTGGTGATGGGGGACCGAAAACATGGGCGATGGGGGACTGGAAACGTGGGCTAAAATTTTGGGCCCAATTATATTTGGGGTACTTAAACTTTAAATAAATTAAAAAAAGGTGTTGGGCTGACATTAAGTGAAACTATATTCAAATTTGAGCCCACTTTTATTAGTTCAACTTAAGGTTGACTGGGCCAAGAATATGATCTAGTCCAACTTAAGGCAAACTAATGGTTCAGTGGCAAGTACTCTTGACATCTAACCTGAGGTTTCAGGTTCAAATCCTTCTTATGAGGAGTGGGATTTTTTTCAACCTTTATAAAATTACCATTATGTCCTTGGCAGCATAAGATATTTTAGCTGACCCCACCTAGTGAGATAAAGGCTTGTTGTTGTTGTTGTATGTTTTGATCCCAGACCAGAATTACCTCATTGGCCCATAATTTTTGGTATTTACTATGTGACCACAAAAACTTTCTAGAAATTAGAGGTTAGTCCCTTGACTTTTATAATTGCATTTTGTACCCAAATCTCTTCTAGAATTACCTATTTATCCCTAAACACATTTTAAAATTCTACTTCAGTCCTGAATTTGTTCTTTAATTCTCAAAAGACCCTAAGGATTTTTTTAAAATTATTTTATTTTGTCCTAAGGTTATGAAATTTGTGACTTCATAAATTATTGGTGATACTTAAGATTTTGTAGCATTAGTAATGGCCATACCATATATGTGTGACATTATTAATGTAATTTTGATGTTGGCTTTAAGAATAAGCAAATAATATTTTTGATGTATTAAATATTTGTTATATCCCATAGGTATGAAAATATTTAATACATTTTTTTGTGTATGAACTTTTATGTGAGCTAAATCTATATGGTATGAGAGCCTTCTTGGTGCATGATAATAGTTGCATAACTGAAATTCACTTGTTGAGAATTCTGCACTATAATTATGTTACACATATATAATTATTATTTCTCATATTTTGTTTTGCTATTTCAATTTTTTGTGTTTTGAGCAACTATATGTTGTTACGACACTTTATGAGACTTCTTGGTGCAAAATAATAGTTGCATAATTGAAATTTGCTTGTTGACAATTTTGTACTATAATTAAATTTTGCATGCATAATTATTATTTTTTATTTTCTGTTTTGTGATTTTTGTTTTTGTTTTGAGCAACTATTTTTTGTAAATGCTCTTTATGGGACTTACTATGATCATTTGTGAGAGTCTTCAAGCATGTATCTTACCACTTTGAAAATTAGTTGGCTCTAAGAGAACCTAAACTAGAGGATCTC